AAACATGAAAGCTCTTCCATTTATGCACGATGATTTTCGGTGTTGTATAACGTTCGAGCGAAGAATGTAACCACTGAGCGTTTTGCCTTTCCGCTTCTGTGTGCACAACTATAATCTTGTTTCTGATGGCCTTATATCTCGAGATACCGAGAGTTATACTGTGGGATCTCATCGTCATTCAGAATTGAGGGATTTAAAAAGGCTGCTTCGTTCACGATCTTCATGCATCTGCTGTTCATGCACCTGATAATTTTAACATTTTTCCCTCGCAATACGTATGAACGCCTTTAATAAGACTGGTTAAGATCAGTGGGTCAGCGAGCCTAAAAATCGGTAGTACGCAGGGTTAATCAGCTGCTTTAGGATATTCAACGGAGTGCAATCCTCAGTAAGCTGTCAGATAGTAGCAGGAACGATGAACATTGTTGAACACAGAGTTGGTGTGCGACCACCATTTTGAATCTTCTTGAATGACGACTGCCAGGGATATTTGGCACCTAATTTAATAGATTAAGGATTTAGCATACCAGCACAACCGAGATGGCGATGACAGAAGACTCTCTATTACTCACAATTAGCAATAACTGATTTTCTACGGTTGGGCATCAGATCAGCTTTAGCTGTCAAGGTTTCTACAAATCAGACGGCACTAGGAGAAAAATTAAGATTCATTATGATACTATAGGACAGCTAAAGACTGCATCATCGACATATACCACAAAAGTCAGAAAGCAGCAGCACGAAAGGAATCAGTTTACATATTTTAATAGCAAGGACGAGAAACGAAGGTCTCTGCCAACAACTGCTACAAATTGGAACCGATACGAGAAACAGTCACAGCCGTGATCAAAGCTTCGGATCTCGACTCTTTTTACTAATCTTTTCCATTAGCCGTTGGCGCGTAACAGTACTGAAAGCTACGGTAAAATCCAAGAAAACCGCATGAACTGAAGTAAACCCACCACGATCCATATTTTGACCAATGGTGTTAAGAAGCAGAGCGATTGCATGAACGATTCTTAAAGGCAAACTTAAACTTGTCAAGTCGACAGCAAAGGTCAACCTCGGCGAATGGTCTGAGGATTGCCGACTACTAAAAAAAATGCCATTGAACTTTAATCGCATTCAACACGGTTCTCCAACGCTGCTGCATTATATTTAATTATAAAACAAAAGCACAAGTAATCGTAAGGCAAAAAGTTTCAAATTCTATGAAACGCCCTCTGGTTATTCGTCTTCTTTTACGAATACTTTGCTGCTGCATCACCATGACTGACCTATTATACAACGTGAACAAACATGATAACCTCCAACCAATGGTTCGCGATGCAACCAGCGACGAAACATCATCTTAACATAAATACAGAAAAGATAAATTATTCTCAGCAGAAGGCATTTATGGAAATGCCTGCGTATCCAAAGGCTGCACTTTACTGCAATTAATGCAGTTATGGATATACTTCGTAGAACTTGAGGCCAAATCATCAAGCGTTTCGATTAACGTGAAGTGATCTACGCCAGGTAGCACAGAAAACTTAGCATGTACGTCATGGGACTGTTTCTGAACCTTCAAGTAGAAATCTTTGCTGTTCTGCTTGAATGTGTTGCTTTCGAATTCGCCAACGGCTATATGCAGCTCTTTTCCAAACAACTTTCTACACAAATTTGATACATGGTGATCCGGAGAAAATTTTTTGGCCTCTTCAGGAGAGAGACTAAATCAGATATCAAAAATATTTGAAATTCAGCGACAGATTACATTAAGTTTTATAGTTATCATAGATTTAACCATCACCTGTTTGAACAAGAGACCTATCGGTTTCGAGTCCAACGCCCTAACGATTGACAAGCGACAGAATAGAATATGAATGCGCCTACGAAAATGCCTGCTTGCATGAAGTCCATTTTGCTGCTAAGGACTTTCGACGCATATATTACTAACGACAACAACGGAGAGGAGTGTCATCAGGAATAATCACGAAATCCTTTTCAACCTGAATGGCATCGAATTACAAGATTTATTCTAAGTGAACTGCTTGTTCGTATCGAACCCTTTCTTCTGGTAATGTGACGTGAACTTCCAGTGTCACTAAACTTGATGACTGGTCATTGATCTAGTGGAGAAGATTCCTACCAGATTTGTTCTCGTCGAGGCTAGATGTCAAGGAAACCTTTGTCTGCACAAATTACGCTTTTGAAAATCGATGAGAACCTTGAAATTAAAAAAAAAAACTTTGCGACTAAGTTTTAGGGAGGTTTAACCATTTCAACAACAAAATCTTGAATATTCAGGAAGAATGTGACAACTTATATAAGCCATCCTCTGTTGATATGGAAAGAGATATTATGCAAAATTCAAACAGTATTATCGCTACCCAATTCTGCTTCAGGGAACGTAAGCAACATCAATAACATTCTTCTCCCGATGCCATCTAGCAAGAAAGTTTTAATCTTCACATGGCAGAAAAATAGGGTCATCGATCTTGACTGGCGCAGCGAACTCATCAGGATTTTCGAGCATGCAAGATTGTGGGAAAATTATGGAAAACACTACCTACATTATTCCTGCATTCCCAGAATCTCTGCATTTACACGACCTAGGCGGCAATTCGTGTAATTTACTGTACATGGTGACACTGCACACCTGTTCAATGCTTATAATCTTCCAAATCATCAGCCCAATCGACAATCTGGGTCTCTCTGGACTGAACCCTACCCTGGGATTCTTATCCTTCAGGCATTTTCCTCTAAGGCGTGCAACCCGAAAGGTTGGTTGAAGTCTTAAAACTCCTGTAAGCATTACAGTTCCCACATTAAAAGATCAGTTTAACATTGTAAACTTTCTACGAGTCTAGGCCTTACGCCGGTAAGAAAAACTAGTTAACTTACTGAAGAGGCTCCGCAATGTAAGTGCCACAAATAGGAGACAGACTGTATATACCACTGAGTAAAATGAGCCCTTCCAAACAACGCACATGAGCATCTGTACAGTTAAGCAAGACCATACAACAAAGATGAGCTCCAGCGGAATGACCACACAAATAAAAACTTTTGGCGGAATTCTTCTCACAATGCTCGTTTATGAATCTGACAGCGGTGGTAACCTGATGGACGATGGCCGCCATAGACACCTCTGGAGCCAGGTCATAACTGATGCATGCCACTGCCATTTTCTTTGAAATCAGGTTGTTAATGAAGCCGATGGGTAAACGTGGCGATCCCACCTGAAATACGGCCGAAGTACCACTTATAAACGCTTTTTTAGGTCGCCTTTTTACCTGCCAGTATCCGCCGTGAATGTAGACGAACAGCGGATCCTTGCCCATCGGTTCCTGCCCAAAGAATTCGATGATCTGATTTAAAGTACTTCCGTAAGGAATCGTTTGCATAACGGACGATGCGTGAACAAATGGATAACCCGCATTAATTTTTAAGAAATGCTCATCAATAATCTAAAAGTATGAAAATAATAGTGATTTTAGGAAAATATCAGCTGTTCTTCAACGGTTGACGAAGTCTAATAAAATCATAATAATAAATAAATTCTTTCTTTGATTGCGTTCAGTGCAAGAGTTCCTTGCGAAGAACTACATATAGCGCCATGTACAATCCATTCCGAATATTGTCTAGTTATGCAGCCAGTAGCAATAACGGATGGACCAGACTCCATCTATCTTTTGCCGAAGCTCAAACTCTGGCACAGGATCGGGAACGTTGGAAGCTCTGTCTGACGTGTCTGCCTCCGCAACCCGAAAGGAGAAGCGGCGATGGAAGATGAAGATATATACAACGATATATAATATTTTTATGCATTAAGTATTATGTACATGAAACCGCTTAGGTGGTATTCTACGTCCATAACATCATGAACTAAAGCTAACTCGCTGTTCAGTCCAAATCGGCCATCTTTACCGAATCACCCAGTATACTTAAGCCTCTGATTAGTCTCCACAGATATAGATTCATGCCAATCAGTAAGTCAATCAGGATCGATGACCACTTATGCTCCCGGACTGGACTGCGGAGGAAGAGGCGTCAGTTTTCCCAACGTTCATGATCGGATACCAGCATCTTAACTACCGCAAAAGATAACACGAATTTGGAGCAGAGTGTACTTGCATCAGGTCATCCTTGCATCATTGCCTGTCGCTGGAATCTTTGGCCAGTCGGATGGGCAAGCAGTAGCAATTTCGCCTTCTTTTCTGAAAGCATATGCAAAACCTGTAAAAGCCATCGCAGCTGTGACTTTCGAATCCGGGGAAGCAGCCATCGAACACCAAGGTATTCTTAGATACCTTAACCTCAGACGCCATTCTGATTAGTGATTCTAACTATTCGTCTCAGAATGCCCATTTCAGCCGCTTGTACGCGGTATCTGGATTTCACTCATGGCTCGCGACTTAAAACAATAGCTTATGCTTTAGATTAAATTTAAATAAAGACTTACGTTATAATACTTTTAAAATAAGGGAAGTGAGCTAAACTACGAATAAGTTTCGGTCCAAACCAATATGGAAAGATTACAATTTCGGACGATAACATATATGTAATAGACCTCAGAGGGGGTCCGGTTTGTCCGGACATCTCATCCTCAGCACATCGCAGATGTGTCCAAGTGAAGATAGTCAAGCACCAAGTTCAAGAATGACAACTTTTATTACACACAACAGTGCAATGTAAAACAGACTGCGTTTCTCTCTTCGTTCGCATCGTTCATTTTATATCTTCCCTGACCAATAGCTAGGCCCAATCCGCGATCAATTTGTGCTAACTATTTCTGGTCCTCGCCTTCCCAAGATCTCTTCGCTGAGCACTCAGACAAAACAAAAGATAGTGTCTTACGGCCTGTTACATAAATATTCCATTAAATGTACGACATTTATTTTTAGACGTAATTTTTCCAACGGCTAAAGAATCGAAAAATAAAGGCGGTTCGTTTTACTGTACAAATGAGGATACGGGATCAGATGTAAAAAGGAAGAAAAAATACAGGGAATTAAGCATTTTCTGTTTTCCCTTACTGACAATAACAATAAACTTCCGAATTATCGGTTTACTAACAAAGAAAGTTTTCAATACTGCTGGAAAAAATAACAATCTCCAGTTACTTATTAGGAATCAGACGGTGTAGTTTCTCTCTCCCTTGCTTCCAGTAGTCTAGGGGATCGTTTAAGCCGGTCACGGCTTCATAGCATTTGAGCTCATGGGCGAAAAACAATATACCTTTATTGGTTAGAACAAAATCATGTTCGATCATCAAGGGATATGTTTACATAGGTAGAAACACATAATATAAATAACCTTGGTCTAATGAGTTTAGTAAATAACCGGCAGTTTTCGATCACGCCGGTAAAAATAATAAACTTTTAACGCCTCCTCGGATTCGCAAAGCGAAGATGCACCGTCCATTCGCTTCTAGTAGCCCAGGCTTCTGAATTTGTCCAGAGCTTCTAAGCAGACCGCTGCGCCTTAGTGAAAAATGGAAGGAAAACAGGTAGAGTGTAAAAGAGAGCAGAAAGTGTTTGTTTGCGTTTTGCGCAATTCCAATAAGAGAACCAGGTTCTGCTGTGACGTTTAACGATGGATCAACAGTGGCAATAACTAGGCGTATTATCTACCAATGAATAGCATTACTATAACATAGTTTGTGACCTGTTGAACAGACGAAGTCAATATAACTGTACCTGCGCAGAAAGCAGGTTCCGGTTGCTCCAGTGACTTGGCGAATAATTGCATTCCAAGCTGGTAAATGGAAATCCGTGAGGACAGCCATGATCTACCGACGCACTTTTTTTCTCTAAATCAAAATTTGCTCAGTTAATCTCCAAACCACAAGCAAAATATCAAACTAGAACTACTTTCGAATAGAATAAACTGGTAATGGTAAGAAAACGATGAGCTTTGCAAAGTCCAAAACGATTCGTCGTCATGCGGCATTTCCTCTATATGTCATTGTCGATATTTTGCTCAACTAAATTATAAAGTTTATACTTAATTCGCTATATTTTAACTTAGATAATTAATCAGACAAACAAATAAGGTTAGATGGTGATCTTAAGAATTGGCTACACAGCTAACTACTTAACAAATGATGCTTTAACGATAAGATTTCAAGACATGTTGCATTTGCCACTTGCTCCTAGCGGCATACGCAGCCACGGCATTTTGTCCGCTAGAGCCATCCAGCATTCATCGTCAGCAGTACCACTTCCTGAAACATCGGTCGTGATGAGTTTGGAGACGAAGACAAAACGAAACGAGATACATCTGGCAATGCAGGCGCTCAAATGTTATGGAGACGCTGCCAGCTGAAATGCCCAAATAAGAAACTGTGATTAACGGTGAGATGCGACACGCCTTGAAATCTGCACTTACAACAGTCATTCATTAATTGACAAATTAGGGCATAACAACAACTCATGATACATATCTTATCAAACAGTGAGTTAAATAGTCAAAGTTAAGCTCATTCTTTGAACAAAATCTTCAGAAGTTCCACTTTTCAGCAGTGGAACAAAGGGCAATAAAATGAAGCAAAGGGCACACAATCAAATGCAAAACTAATGTCTTGACATGACTTCAAGAAATATGCATGCGATAAAATAAAAATCATTGCATTCCTCCAGCTGCCAGCTGGCGTCAGGATCTGTGAAGATTTGCATTAGAGATGAGGTTGTGGCTCTACAGAAACGTTTATTGCGCGCTGAGACCACTGAACAGACATTTCTGTCATCCATTTATCTAATATTTAGATGGCTAGAAAGTTAGATAGATAGCTAGATACTTAAATATTTTTATTTGAAGGCAATGGGTCTCTTGATTCCACGGTTGGAATACGGCACGAGAAAAAAATAATTCTATTTATAAAAATTCCAACAACTGAACGAACAAAAAAGGAAAAAAACTGCTGGGTCAGTTCGTGCTTGAGCCGATTGGTTAAACGCTAGATCGGCCATCCATTTAACTTTTAATCGTGCTCCACACCACACAAATGTTCCTGTCACTGGAACCAATGCAAGTGTTAAAATTCTAATTTTGTTGGCAGTGATGCGAAGCGACTCAATGATTAGCTACTTTACCTTGTCCTGGTATCGACTGACCACTGTTAGATGTTAGATGACTGATGTTAAGGTCATGACCATTGTACAGGGCATAAGCAAAAAAAACCAGAATGATCAGTGCTGCGGTACCTGATGGCTCTTCCACGTTCCATAAATCTAGTTTTATGTTCGACAGATCTTGCCAATATATATCCGATCACAGCTATTGCAAGCTATCTGAAAGACCACGTTTTTAATCTCAAAGATGGGGTGACGATCAAACCTTTACTAGTTTGATACTTTAATAGTTTTCCTAAAGTTTGGCCCCTGCAGAAAAATGATACCGAAAGAGTTAATTACTGTCAAAATAGAGGCGGAACAAAACTTAGAGCGTTCAGATACAGAATCGATTAAATACTTCTCATATCCATTTTTAAGAAAAATAGATGAAAGGTGCTTGATTAAACCCCTAAAAGTCGGTCATAAGCGCAACAGCTTAAAGCCCTATTGTGCATGCACTTCATAATGTTGATGAACACAGAATTACTTCTCTGAAGTGTCAGATAAAATGAAAGTTAAGCGAGAGCGTGGTGTCGAGTGGCATGCCAGCATTAACTTCACATGCCATTACGTCTGAAATCATATAATACTTTAAGATAAATAATAAATTAACCACGGTATCAAGTATTAAAGATTTACGAGGAAAGTGCTAGTTTTGCATACCGCTGTTAAGTATGGCAATTTTTTGTCTTATCTTTAGATTTACTCAGCACAGTAACAGTTTTCTTTCTTCAAGCAACCCAAAGAACCATTCAAATAGGTCACAGTTCCATGGTATTTTAGCACCTGCAGTGCATGGATGCAAATTTGAAAGATTTCATTGGGTTACCCATTACATAGAGGCTCGTTTTCATTGTATATGCATATGGATCGAGCTAGACCCATGGTTTTCGAACAAGCTTTGTTCGACTCAGCAGAATGGTGTGGTTTCGCGCCCATATACCGCAGGTACTAAAATAGCATGGACCCATGGCGTGCTTACATGGGTTACCAGAAACAACGCAACAGTGCGACTATCTGAGACTGCTAAGCCAAATGTTGATTCTCAATTTTAATTCACGCTACTGCAATTTTGTAGGAAAGCTTGAAAGTCCACTGCTTAAAAGAATTAAGCACTGAACTACGTCATTACGAACGACAACGAGAATTGGTACGGGTAGGTATGTGTTGGCACAGTAAAATGGATACATCGACAATGAACCATATTACTTTGAACATGGTAGGTATTGCTGTCTTACTGTATTGGAGTCCATTAGGATGCATGCTGTAGCAGGAATAATGGTCTTCGA